AAAAAAAAAAAAAAAAAAAAAAAAAAAAAAAAAAAAAAAAAAAAGAGTAGTTGCTCAGAAAGCAGCATAGAAAAGAATATCAGAAATATAAAAGAATGAGTGAATAAATTTTAGAATATCAGTAATTATAATTAATCGTTGGCTTTAAAAATGTGGGGGTTTTTTTGGTTTGTTTAAAAAAGGTGCAACTAAAATTCTAGACAATAATAAGGAAGGTAGAAACGGAAAATTCAGTGAATTGCTAAGTTGTGCCAGGATCTTTGCTTTAGTACTTTTTACTTTTCAAAAAATATGCTTGTGTATAAATTAGGAACTTAAAGATAGACAATGAAGTATCTGATACATAATGGAAAGCTTCCAAATAAGCAGAGGGGATATAGATAAAAATAAAAAGGGGAGTAAAGAAATCTTGATCAATTCAGTAGAAAGCAAGAAAGGAGAAAATAAGAAGCAAAGGAAAAGGCACATTAAACAAAGAAATATATCAGTCATTAAAAATGTAAATACATTAACCCGTTTGTGCTAGTTAATAGAGGAAATCATGGAATTGTTTGCACCTAAAAACATGGCCTTGAATTATATAAAGCTAAAACTAAAAGAATTACAAGGAGCAGTGGATAAAATCGTAGGCATAAAAGAATTACAAGGAGCAATGGATAAAACCACAGGCATATTGGGAGACTTTATTGTAACTGTTTAGAACAGATAGATCGCAGACCAAAATTAATAAGAATACTGAAAATATTAACACAGTTAACAAGCTGGATCTTGTGAACATAAATGGAAATCGATACCTTACAATTACAGAATACTAATTCTTTTCCAACACATTGAACAATTAAAGATTGACCATGTCCTAAGATCACAAAGGAAGTTTTAACAAATGTCAAATAGTAATATATAGGCCGTGTTATTTGACTATAATGCAGTTAATTTAGAAATCTATAGTCAAAATGTAGTTCTTAAAACAATTTGGAACCCTAATAAACACATTCCTTAATGTCAGTAAGGGGAAATCTAATGGAAACAACAAAATACAGAACTGAGCAATAATGAAGTATATAGAATGTGGTTCAAGTGGCACTTGGAGGGAAATTTATAGCTTTAGATGTATGTGTTAAAAATTAAGAAAGATTAAAAATAAATGAGTTAAATATGCAACTCAAGAATCTAGGAAAAGAAACTCAAATAAGTAGGAAGGAAATAAAGAACAGAAATTAATTAAATGGAAAAGAAGAAAAGACAGTTAACACATTCAAAAGCCACTTTAAAAAGACAATTTTCAAATTTTTAGCAAAACCAATGAAGAAAATAAAAATAGATTAATAATATTAGTAATAGAAAACGGGACATAATTCCCAATGGAGAAGAGATTATAAACTGTTGTAGAGAATATAAGCATTGAGATAACAATTCAAAGCATTTTTAAGGCTAGTATAACCTTGATTCCAAAACCAGACAAGGATAGTATAGTAAAAAAGTATGTACTTAGATGCCCAAAACAAAAGTAAAATATAACCCAATAGTGTACTATCTAGCTGGATGTGTATATATAAACCAGACCCTCTAATCATGATAAAGTAGGGTTTAGGAATGCAAACATGTTTCAATATCAGGTAATCTACCTGAATACACCACATTATCAGATGGTATGAAATAATAAAATGTAATCTTCCTAATAGATGCAGAAAAGTCATTATATAAAATTTAACTTATTCATGATAAAATCTTTTTAAAAACTAAAATTTAAGGGAATTTCCTTAACCCCAATAAGGAAGCTCTACAAAAAAAGTCTGAAGTGAACATTTTTACTATGGTAAAAATAAGAGTATCCCTTGTCAAGTCTAGGACAAGACTTGTTCCATATCACCCCAGAGGTCCTAGCTGGTGCATTATGATAATGAAATATGGTATGATTGTCAATGAAAGTAAAAAAATTGTCATGAATGAAGATGCTAAAATTTTAAAAATCCAGGAAAATCTAAAGACAATTAGAACTAATAAGAGAGGTCAGCAGTTTACTGGATACAAAATCAACATATAAAAAGCAATAGCAGGTACTCTTTTCAAAAATTCATAAACAAAGTCAAGTCATGAGAAAATATCAGGGAAACCCAAACTCAGGAATATTCTACAAAATACTAGTGTGCCTCCAAACTGTCAACATCATGAAAACAACGTATTCTGAGAAGCTGTCACAGCCTGGGGGAAACTAAGGAGACGTAATCACTAAATGTGATGTGATGTACTGGATGGGATCCTGGAACAGAAGGAAGACATTAATGGAAAAATGGGTGAAATAGAAATAAAGTCTGTAGTTTAATTGTTTTGTGCTAATATTTCTTTTCTTTGACAATGCACCAAGGTTATGTAAAATGTTAACATCAGTGGGAACTGGGTGAGGTAATCTTTGTATTATCTTTCTGTAAATCTGAAATAATTTTAAAAATAACCAATTTTGAAATAACCAATTATACAATTAATAGAAAAAAGACCTCCTAAAGTCAAACAGGATCTTTACTGGAAAAAAAAGTTACAATATATTGTTGATGGCTGGAGGAGACATGAAAGAATATGATGTAGGCAGTGATCAAAGACAATAGACCTTTATATTGTAACATTTTCAGTTTTCTCTAAATTGCCCTGTGGATTTAATAAAATGTCAGTTGAAATCCCAATAGGATATTTCATCAAAATTGACAAGCTGATTCTAAAAATCATTTGAAAGATAGAGGGCTGAGAATAGTCAGACTCTCGAAAAACAAGGTAGGGCAATTGCCCTTTCAGATATCAAGATATTGTAAAGCTGTAATAATTAATAAGGTATGTCAGTTAATGCACAGAGATAGACAAATGGACTAGTGATACAGACGAGAGTTCAAGAACAGGCCCACTTATATACAGAAACATGATATAATGTTAGGAGAAAAATTAAATCCCTACCACTGAACATATACAAAAATAAACAAAAAACTAAAACTATGCCTTTTAGAATATCTTTATGCCTCAGTCTGGGAAGGGATTTTATAAAAAGCAGAAATCTGAAGGAAAAGATTGTGAAATTTTATAACACTAATGTTTAACACGCCAAGACAAAAAATAAGAGCTCTTCTAATTTTGTTTATGGTATAGATTATAGACTTTTTTGTAAGTGTGACTGGGGTGAGGAGCAGGAGGTAGTTCAAACTGGAACATAACATCTTGTTTGCCTTTAAAAATTAGCCTCCATGTGGTGTAGAGAATATTGGAGGAAGAGGTTTGGAAGAAGATTATCTCAGGAAGATAATGGTGATTAGGACTACCATGGAAAGGGAAAACATGGGACACATTTGGGATGTGTCTTGGGTGTAATCAGCAGGACTTGCTGATGAATTAGATGTTGGTGGTAAGGAAAAAAGGAATAGGAACAATCATGAGATTTTTTGGCTACAGCAACTGGTGCTATTTATAGAAATGGGGAAAGGGAAAACTAATATTTGTTTTAAATACTTTAAATTGCCTGTTAAACATCCAAGTGGAGTAGTCAACTTTCAAGCAGACAGGTGGATATATATAAGACTGGGCTTCTGTAGAGGGTTCTGTGGCAGAGGATTGAAATTTGGGAGCTAGTGGCAATAGGTGGCATTTAAACCATGTGACTAAGAGAGAAGTTGAGGCTGCTACCCAGCGAGTAGATGTTGATGAAGAGTAGGGACTGTGTTCTGAGACAAGACCCTCCAGCATTTAGAGGTTAAATAGAGTAGAAGCCAGCCGTGAGGGAGAAAAGGCCATTGGTGCAGGGAGGAAAACCAGGACCGTGATAGTGTCACCGAAAATAAGAAGATAGTGTGGGAGGGCTGGCTGGTTAGCTCAGTTGGTTAGAGTATAGCATTATAACACCAAGGTCATGGGTTCAGATTCCCTTATCGGCAAGCTGTCCCCCCCCCCCCAAAGAAAAAGACAGCATGGGATTTTGATGTTGTTTTTAATAAGGATGTTGAATGCTACTGAGAGATAGAGTTAGATTGAATAAGTTTCCTAGCTGCATAAAGAATTGCTGAAATTGCCAAGTGATTTCAGGGGTGCAGAAGGGATAGAAGCCCAAAGGGCATATATGTTAGCAGGAGAGAATGTGCTGTAAGGCTGCAGAGTCGGTGACCGCGTACTATGGGGCTGAGAAAAGGGGTTGTGGTTGCAGGAACTCTGAGTTGGTATCTGATGGAAATGAATGATCCAGGATCCAAAGAGAAACTGGTATTGTAGATAGAAGCCTTTGAGGAGAGAGGGTATGGGGTCCTTAGAATATGTTAAAATCACCTTCAAAACCTTAACTAGACATTAGGATCCCCTGGGGAACTCCAAAGCAAACATCTCTGTGTCTTCCTGGGTATCTGCATTGTTTAACAGCTACCCAGGTGAGTCTAATGAGTACCCAGATTTGAAAACCTCTGACTTAAGGGTAGTACCACATTCACCTTCAGTGGTGCTGCTGGGGAACTTGTTTTGAAGGTGCATTTGCATAACAAACACGGTGTTTTCATTTATATTTTATGTTTATGAGGCACTGCTAGAGAAGAGACTGTTGACGGTCTGGGAAGTCTAAAACAAATTCCCCACCCCAAGCCGGCAACTTCTCAATATAGCAAGCGACCACTGATAACTCTAAGTATAAATATAAAGTTCGATTTTAGGTATTATATTCTGTGTGTCCTTAGGTAAAGTGCTTTTTGTAACTAATTGTACCTTATGAATTTTTTCTTTTAAAATTAAAATCATACAACATTTTTATTATCCACATAAAATTTCAGAGTGTTGATTTACCACCATACAATTTAATTCTTTTCTGCGGAGTACATTTTGGTGATAAAAAATTATGCTCTATGAATATCCCTGTATATAATTTTAGGCACATCTCTACATATTTACTTTGCTTTAGTTCCTTGACGGTGGAATTGTTGGATCAAAGGGTCTATTAATGAGCTTTTAATAATTCATTGATTTTACTACCAAAGAAATTTCTGTAAAGGAAATTCATGGTGTGGATGGGAGAAAGGAAAAAAATCCCTCCTTCATCCTTCCTTTCCCCCATTTCTTTTCCCCAGAGGTAACCGGTTAGAAGTTTTACATGTAATTGTGTTTATAAAACAAAACAAAAAAATAAATAAATGCGAAAACACTTACCAGTTCGTTTCTACAAACGTCAGCAACTTTTGTATTTCACTAAATCTACTGAGACATCGGTCTTTAATAGTCCCATACAGTTTTACCTCATTATTCTCCCAGGTTTCATAGGATTTCCCTGTGTCAGAGACAGGGTCGCGTTTTTACTCGTTATTCATCTCTCAAGTTCTTGCTATTTTACTAAATGGCACTGCAGTGGATTCATGCAGTGGAAGATCTGTGATGAGGGCTGATGGATAACAGCGCAGCAGTGTGCGAGACTACCTGCTCCCATAAACCACATTTATCCGGTGTTTTGGGTTTGCATTTCTTTATGCAAAGAGTCAGGTCGGGAATCCTCCGTAGGTCCTCCAGCCATTTACATTTTCCTGCGAATTGCAAGTTTTCTCCCCTTTGCCCATTTTTCTTTCTTGGTTTAGTTTATATTGTTGGTTTCCAAGAGCTCTTCATTTGTTAAGGAAATTAGCCCAGTGTCTTTCATGTGTCCCAGGCTGAAAAGTCTCGTCTTCCCGGTTTGCCGTTCATCTTTTGACCTCAACGTATATGGTTTTGCCTGTCGGATTTTGTTTTTTCATTTAGACAGATGTATAAATTTCTTTTTTTTCTTCACGGGTTTTGCATTTGGGCATCGTTAATGGGCCTTTCTGCATTTCACCCCAATTTCTTTGTTTGGGGGCTGCATCGCTATACTCCCACCCATCCCCTCCCCCTTTTCCCGAGCGCTCTTCGGGGCCCCTAGCGATGGTTGGTTTGATGTCAGCCCCCCTGTTTCGCGCCAAGCCATCGCCACGGCAACCGAGGCTTGATTGGCATGGTTTGGGGGCGTGGCGTGGGGGCCCAGGGAGGGCGGCACTGCCGCTGATTGGCCTTTGTGGAAGCCCCTCCTCTGCAGAGGAGCCCTGACTAGGAGGTGTTGGGTTGCGGCTGGGTGCAGACGCCTGGGAGCAGCGGGAGGAAGAGGGTCGGGAGAAGCTGGCGATGTCCACCCTGGGCTGGTGGCGCCGCAGGGCGCCAGGTGCCATGTGGGCACACTAGACAGCTGCTATCCGAGCCCGGGCGAACTGTGCTGTGTGGTGCGGTGAGGTGAGTTGCTCGCTCTGCCGCCCGCCCGAGCACGCCCTCCTGGCCGCCGTACCTCAGTGTAAGGACGGTATCTAGGGTGCAGTGCTGTGGGGCCATGAGTGGCTGTCCTTCGGCCAGAGTACGGACCACCTCGGCAGGTCCCGGGAGGGACACAGGGCTCTGGCATAGCCACGCCACTGCCGACGGCCGGGGGGTTGCGGGCAGAGCTGAATGGAAAGGCTGCGGAAGCGCCTTCTTCGGGGTCCCAGGGTGGGGGGAGGCCGCAGCGATGCCATCTTGTATGGCCAGGGTCTCGGGGGTGGTCCGCCCTGCGGAGGTGGCAGGGGAGTGTGGGGGGCTCCCTGCGCCATCTTGCCTGGCTTTGTTGGGTTTGTTGGGTGGGGGAGGCAGGACGGTGGCAGCCCTGGGGTAGGGAGCTGGGGTGGCTGAGGTCTTCTGTCATGGGCAAGTCCGTGCAGGCTAGCCGCCAGGGACCCGTGCCTGATAACCGTGAGTGGGGCTGCGGCTCTCTGGTCGTCCCTCAGTTTCCTCGGCTGGGTCTGGGGACTGCGAAGGACCATCCCATCCCATAGGGCCTCTGACTGGCTGGGTCCTCTCGGCCGCCCCGGCACACGCGGGGCCTGTCATTTGGGGGCGGGGCTTATTTTGCCGCAGTGGTGGTAGGAGGGAAGGACCGTAAGGGGGAGGGGCCCGGGGCTGCCGCGCCTGTGAGGTATTTTTTGGGCTCCTCCCACCGGGTGACATCTTTGATGAGGAGCGCCTGAGGTTTGCCGCGCAGGCGCGTTGTCCTGATTGGTTGGCTGAAGATTGGGGCGGGGCTAAGGGCTGTTGAGACTGCAGGTCACTTTGGGCTGCGATGGTCTTGTTAGGCCCCGCCTACCCAGGCGCCATCTTGGATGGGGTGGCCGTGGTTTGCTGCGCAGGTGTGGCCTTGGCTGGCTGGTAGCAGGGAGGGGCACTGCTGGTGGCTGCGGTGGCCTTTTGTTCTTTGCAGTGGTTGAAGGCTGCAAGGTGCTGCCTTCTTACACTTTCTTTCTTAGTCGGGGGGAGGGGGTAGCAACGGAGGCTTGCTGTGCCTTCTGATATCGGGCCATGGCTAGAGGCCGCAGGGCCTTGGATCTGGCTGGGTCTGCGGTCTACAGTCTCCCAGCATCTGGGAAAACCAGACGCCATGCCTAAAGTTTGCCGCAGCTGCCAGTGCCGCGGAGCCATTTGTCCTGAGGGACGGGGGCTATAGTATGTTGGTGTGCCCACTGTTCTGCTTGGCCAAGTCTGGGGGCTGCAGAGGCTCACTCCGTCCTCGGTCGTTGTCAGACCGAAACTTTTTTCACCCTGGGATGGATCTGGCTCCATCTTTTGGCTGTGCCGGGGAGGGGTGGGGGGTGGCGCTACTGGAGGCGGGGGAGCAGAAAAGGTGTGTTGCGAATGCGTTCTGTCAGTGGGTTACGGGGGGCGTCTCTCGGTATTAACAGAGCTTCAGAGCCCAGCCAGCCTTCTCTGGCACCATCTGTGCTGGTCGCAGGGGGCCACCTGAGGTTTAGTGCTCAGGAGCTATTTGGAATGAGAGTAGGGCAGGCTGAAGGGGGGGAGGCCCAAGGAAGAGGCTGTCCTGTCCTGAATGACTGACAGGGCTGCAGAGCCCCGCCTTCCTTGGCGTCATCTTTACTTGCCGAAAAGGTGCGCTTGAGGTTTACTGCGCAGGTGCTGTTTTGAATGACAGCGGGGCTGGCTACAGAAGGACGGAGCGAGGGAGAGGCTATCTTCCTCTGAATGACTGTAGGAATTGCAGAGCTACACCAGCCCTGGTACCATCTTTGTTGGCCGATGGGTGGCAGCCTAGGTGTACTGCGCAGGTGCCATCTTGAATGATGGAGGGGCTGGCTGTCTTCTCCTTACCCGCTCCTACCCTAGCGCTTAGTGGGTTGGCAGTTGGGATAGCCAAAACTTACTGGGCAGGTGCCATCTTGAATGACAGTGGGGCTGTGAGGGAAGAGGACAGGGAAGACCTGTCTTGACCTGAGTGACTGACAGGGACTACGTGGGTAGGTGGGTGTGTTCGTGTTAGCGCGCGCACGCCGGTGAGGCCACCAAGGCATACTGCTCGGGTGCCATCATGAATGACAGCTGTCCCGCCCACCATAGTACTGAGTGTGTTGGCCGGTGGGTGGCTGTCGAGGCGTACTGCGCAGGCGCCATCTTGAATGACAGCAGGCGGGCTGAAGGGATTTCGGGCAGGCGGGACCAGCAGAGCTAGGTTCCTTCAACCTGTGCCTTCGCTGCTAGCCAGGGGGTGGGGCCTGCGCGGGTGAAGTCTAGAGTGGTAGCAAGCTGCAGGGACTGATCCCCCGAACCCCGCCCTGCCATCTTGGCCGGGTGCCGCAGCACCACCATCTTGGGCAGCAGCGCAGACATGACTAGTGGCGCCACAGGGTGGCGCCAAAGCCAAGTCACAGGGGAGGAGACAGGTTCAGCTACGCAGTTGTGGACTCAGTGAGAAAACTGGGGTCCAGAATTCAAAGGTTTTAATAGATTTGGGGAAGGGAGGATTTTAAGTGAGAAAACGGAGTAGGTAGGCTGTGGGTATAAAATTTTGGGGTCTAGGCAATTTTGAGGCTCTGGGGGCAAAAGAGATTTTACTCAAAATCCTACAGCCTGTGGAATAGAGAAATCAGAGGTGTAAGTGGTCTTGAAAGGGGGCAGAGCGTGCGGAATAGGGAGGGGGTGGCTCTACTCAGTGGGAGGGGTGTGGCATTCCACTTGCTGGCCACACCCAGGGGACGGAGGAAGGGAGTGAGGAGGCCGTTCTGGCGCAGAGCCGCTAGAGGGCTGCATAGCTTCCAAAGCTAAGCTGGCTTTGGTGGGGTACTCCCAGTCCTAGCTCCAGTCCTTGCCTTCTTTATTTATTTATTTATTTATTTTTTGAGGTAGGGAGTGACACGCAGGATTTCTACTTCCCAGGTAGTCCGAGTTAAACTATACGTTTGCCAGTGACCGTAGTATTAACAGTAACAGTTGATGTTTATTGAGCATCAGTAAATGTTGAATGGTTTTTAATAAATAAGTTCTTTAACCTCACCAAAATACACTTACCTGACTCTTAGGTCATAATCGTGTAGCTCTTTCCCCCAGAGACCCCTAACTTGATTGAACATATGCTCTGAGGTGCAATGGGACTTGAACTATGTACTTATGTACTGTGTGTCCACTGGGGGCATGTTGGTAAGCCCTAAAATATTGCACACAAGTAATGGTGCCTTTACTTAATAGTAATGATGGTAATAGCGTTAAGGTCCCCAGATAGGCTACTCCCTTGATACTATTTAGATTCATAGCGAAGGTAAATTTCTGGCCCTACTCCACTGATTGTTAAATGACAGAACTGGTTTCAACTAATTTTTGTAATGGGCACCTGTTACTTTGGGTGTTAGTACTCTACATGGTCTGTGGAAAATGTCAGTAGATTTTCAGTTTTTTAAAAAATGGCATTAGATTGATCTGTAATAGTTTGCCTAGAAAATTAATAGTGTGAAGATTAACAGAGTAAGGTGCTAAGAACTGTATGTATCACATAGCACTAATAGTACTTCCTTAGCCATATTTTTCTTTCAGTATTTACCTTCAAGATGTCTTCTTGCCTTTAGAGGGATGGTCAGTGCCACGTAGCTAATAAGTGGCAAATTGGTTTCTTGAATTGATTCATTGGACCAGAGCTCCACAAAAGGTTCTAAGACACCCCAGAGAATGACTTGAATGTCCTTGGCATATAACCTCATTGGGAAAAGGCTATGATTATAGCCCAGGGTGCAACATGAGCCCCAGAGAACAATGTCCATGGCCTTTCCATCCTGGGAGGGAAAGCTGATCTTTCTGGTCTCATTTGACCTTTGCCATTGCAGGAGATGGAGCTGTTGTGAGGTCATTTCCAGCCTGAGGAACCTAGTAACTGCAAAATAAATTTCATACCTCATGTTTTCTTTTCCTTCCACAGCTCTGCCTTCTCGATCATTCACCCTTGTTGGAGACAACTGCAAAGAGGAAGAGGGACTGGGTCCAAATGCGAGGTGGCTGGGTGTAGGTGAGTTGATATCTCTCCTCACAGTGCCACACCCATCGTTGGAGTGACCACTGTCTTTTCTCACCCTGACACTTCCCTACTGCACATATGTTCCACATAGCCACATGAGCACCATATGTGCCCTTTGAGAGCCCATAGACTCTTCTGGTGGATTGCATTCACCAGAAATTTTCCTGCTTGGCCTCAGGCCATCCTTTTTGGGGTCCTACCTCTTTTCCCAATGCTTAGTTATTCCTTTAGGCATACTTTTTCTCTCTGGTTGGGTGATTAAAGAAGTGTGAGAGATCATCTGCTCATCTGCTAGTATTGATTTAGTGTGTACTTTGTGCCAGGTATTGGGAACATGGCCCCAAATGGGAAAGGAAGTGTTTTCA